GGGACGATTCATAATCATCCTATAAATTACGATCCTCCGGACGGTTCATAGCCGTCCTATAAATTACGATCCTATGGGACGATTCATAATCATCCTATAAATTACGATCCTCCGGACGGTTCATAGCCGTCCTATAAATTACGATCCTATGGGACGATTCATAATCATCCTATAAATTACGATCCTCCGGACGGTTCATAGCCGTCCTATAAATTACGATCCTATGGACGATTCATAACCATCCTATAAATTACGATCCTCCGGACGGTTCATAGCCATCCTATAAATTACGATCCTATGGGACGATTCACAACCATCCAATAAATTACGATCCTCCGGACGGTTCATAGCCGTCCTATAAATTACGATCCTATGAGATGATTCATAGCCGTCCTATAAATTACGATCCTATGGGACGATTCATAACCATCCTATAAATTACGATCCTATGTGATGATTCATAACCATCCTCTAAATTTGCGAATTATAGTTTTGAGGACTGCACTCCTAAGATGGCTGTAGGATCGAGGGACTCTAGAATTTCCTAAAAAGGGATCGGACTATGCTCGATCCAGTCAGGGATCATCCAGGATTCGATCTTAAGTGGACCGTTAACATCTCTAGTACCTAGATAGTTTGTCTCGAAAGGGCTAGTTCGAATGCGATACGAAGGAGCAAAACCTTCTGCTAAGAATCTACTGATGCCAAGGCGCGTGTGGTTGGTTAGGTGGTGGGATTTATAGCACAATCTAGGGGTCATACATATTGTCGAACCCGAAACACTGAGAAATGTTGGCGGATATCTCTAACATTTATAAGGGGCGCTTCAGTTGTTACATGTATGTAACTAAAGACTTTTAAACTCTCTCCGCAAATCCGACTTGCACAACAATTTCCGTTTGCCAATTCAACTCTCCCCCCAAGTATAGTTACTGATGTATATCTATTCTGCAATAATGATTTCCTTGTTAATTATTTTCCCTGAATAATTTTGACGCATTAACTACTCATTTCACCTTATAATTTCCTCTGTAGTATGCCCCGTAATAATTCGCTTTTATTTGATTAATTTCATTGTCGCACTAACGTGAATATCCTTTGCGTGCATGATTATTAATATTAGGGGGTTTGTTTAACTATCACAATATTATCAGTGATAACAATGCAAGTAAAATGTTAATGTTAATTCTATATCAATACACATGTGTTAAATGGTTAAGATGCACTGTTCTCAAATCGTACTAAATTACATGACTATGAATGTATGACTCTATAATTGTTCTATTACAGCGAATCAGCAAACCTTGTCCTTATAGCGCGTTGACTATCCATGACAGGAGAATACGCCATTTTACCCACTATCTGATCAATCTCTTGTAAAGCACGTTCTCGTCGCTGTGCAGGGGGGTCGGCATCTTGATTATTAAGCCTGTATGATCCCATCTTTTCAACCTTTTTAATTACGCTATTCATGAACATGTCACGCTCTTTGGCAGATGTCAAATGAAAGCGTTGAGCGGCGTATGCAGAATTGTATGACGTTTCCGTTAATTCGTTTGTTATTCTTGTCAAGTCTTGAACTAGTAATTGTTCTGGTGGATGCCAATCCTATAAATAAATGATAATTGAGCCATAGATCCAGACTTTCATTTACACAAATAATGATATAATTACCTGGTCTGTCATCCTATTTCTGCCCAAGCGGTCTATCACACAGTTAAGCCTTGCTGCCTCTATATGTCGAAGCTGACGGGGACTGAGCTCAACGCGCTGATCTACAAAACTCCTAGAAGCTGATTTGCTGATTTGCTCAACAAGTCTATTCAAAGTTTGATATTTCGTAACAGTGTTAAAACAAGCGCGTTGCTCTTCATACCGCCCACGCGATAATCGTTGGATAGCAGTCGACAGAGTTGCCGCTGTTAATTCTTTTGTTTGTCTATGACTGAGTTCTACTCGCTGATTGTTTAATTGCGGTGCAACGCTATAAACACGTTCTATTGCGGAAATCACATTGTCAAGATCGTGCCTAGTTTTCTCATTGTCCACTTTTCTAGTAGTTTTCTCATTGTATAACGAGCTATATTTAGGGGGGTCAATATGGAATGCTCTATCTTTCTCATCAATAGCTACGGAATACCGTGGTGGTGGCTCATTTATTGACCGCTCACGACACAATCTCGCAATTAAATCCATTAACCGATCAATCTCATTCCAAGTATCCAATCTTTCTGCTGGGAGATTGTGTTCCTGCGTCTTTAAAGCCAGATTTTGTCGATGATTCTGCAAATTAGTTACTTCTTTCCTTAGCGTGGCGTAGATATTCTCATTGTTCGTAATTCGTATCATTTCATCAGCATTTGTGGTATCGGCTCTTTGATTATTGTTCCTCTCTGACTGAGGAATATCTGCCTCGCACAATTCCTGCATGCGATATAAATACCCTAAAAGAGCAGCCAAGGAGCACGCTAGACTATAATCATCGCTCGGCACAACGGGTGTATTAAGTTTTAGCTGATGCTGAATTCTATGCATAGTAGCTACGTCTGTTGAAGATGTCTGAATAGGTTCAATCTGTTGCATTTCACTTTTACTGCCAAGCATCGTCGCGTTCCTAGCAATATCTTCTAGTATTTGCGATTTATGCCACTCTTCCCTTCCCCGCCGTAATTCAGCAAGCCTAGCACTTGTTTCTGCAATAGAATGACTGAAAGATCTCTTCTTCTTAGGGCTGGTTTTTGCAGTTTCCAAAGAGCTACCAAGGGAAGTATTTAATGAATTCGCTAGGCTGTCTTCCGCAATTTGACGTACTATACCGTCTAATGCAAAGAGGGCAACTTTTTTAACCGTTTCCAGCGATTCGATCACATCCTAATAAAGAATTATGAGGGTACGGTAGGCCTTCAGACTTGCGATTGAGGCTATAATTTATACGACCGTTGCATTATCCTATACCTACCTGTGACAGTAGTACATTATTTATATCTTTCTCGTCGGCGTCTGCTGACCTCTGTGAATTCTGGTCAACCGCAATAGAAGTCGAAGCGTTGACTTCCGATGCAGTAGATTCTTCCTGGTCTTCTAGTCCTAAATCTGCATTGCTAAACTCTTCATTCAGCATCAAGTCAAGAATATGGGGCTGAGATGGTAAAGTTGGCGGTTCCACGTCGGTAGCCTTTTCGAATGGATTTGTAAGACGACCTATTATCGCCGGCATGGACCTCTGGTTATATGATAAAAGGCTTGGTGAATAATGGCTTTTTCGTTTGAACAACAGAATGTCTACGATCGACTTACCCGCTTTGGTTTTGATTTCGCGACAGTCGCCATTATGTAACTGGTAGGAGCAAAAGGATACGCAGCAAGTAGTTAAATAACCAGTTGCCAGACGCTGAAAGTTGATACTTTCCAAGATGCTTTTTTAATTCCGTATACACAAAATTGCCTTTGTTTCTAATTATATTTGCCCGTCTCACATGTCTCGTAGCACGTAAATTGCATGGCACATTTCAATTATTTGTTTCGAAGCCTAATGAGAAAAATTCATTTCGGAAGAGTTTTGAGTTTCGGGTTTCCCTGAATAGTTTATCTAAAGGTGGAGGCATTCCTTCTTTGCAGAAACTCCTGCTTCTGATGTTCCTTAACAATTTAGTAGGCAGTATGGCGAAATAACTGAAAATCCAAAAGACAAAGACGAGTTTTGTGTAAGGTTATGAAAACAGGAGGTCAGATATTGTTGTTGATTAATTGGTATGTAAGTTTTTATGAAACAGGTTTAGAGAAGAACTATAGGACAGGCCGGAACTTCTTTCAGGATAGAGTTTGTATAAATGTGGCGTAGTGAAACATAAGTAGAGACCCTTGATATTCTTTGATCACAGTTATAGATCTGAAGGTTGGGTGGTCTTTTGGTGGTCGTTTCCAGCTCTGAAAATGTTGCAATAGAGAATACAAGTTATCTGAAAATGCTTCATATTGAAGATATTATATATTTCGTAGCGCATAAGTTGTACATGTTATTCACGTTTGACTTTCTGCATCCTAAGAATATTAATATTCCCTAACGACAGCTTTTGTTTGTTGATTGTCGTCAACTACGACATTTTCTAACTGAACATCATCGTTCACGTTACTTTTTGTATTAACGCCTATGGTTGAATTTGCTTCCTGTCCCTCACTCTCTTCTTCTTCTTGCATAATTGCGCTTGGTATTCCAGCAATCTTCTTCACCCCATCCCACGTGCTTGGGTATGATATTTTGTCCCATCTATTCTGTAAATTGTCTACAATATCGCAAAACTTGGATTCACGTTTGACAACTAAACGTAAAAGAGGTTCCATTGTTTTATCCACTTTTTCTTGCACTGGACGGAATTCTAGGCGTACCGGTATTTCGGTGGGGTCGGGGTGATGAAGAGGATTAATGTAATCCATCCAGGAATAACTAGCTTGAACTTCGGGAGAATTGGGAAGGATCAGGTCAAGCACTACGTCGGGAATTTGAATGTGTGGTGCGATCGATTGAGTTTCGTATAGAATCACATCAACGACCGTTGTTGGGTGACTTCGTATCCACTCGAGGATTTCTTATGATTGATCGGTTTGCATGGAAACATATGATTTTGCGTTGGAAAATAATGAGAGTAATAGTGGTCGGTTTAAGAAAGGACAAGTTAGCGCTTATTAGTACTATAATCAAAAATGTTATTCCATCAACGGTGAATATCAAATGTCGATGTGAATACCTGGCTTCGTTCCCATAATAACGAATCTCGAGCTATTAACGACGGACAAAGTTATTCTCTCTGGAACTTTCAAAGGAGTGACTATGCGAGCATTGGTTGTAGACGTAGACAGACTACCCAATTGTTCATCTGGATTTTTGAATTAAAAACACACAATTGTAGCAGAACGTTTGTGACATAAATGACGGTAACGAAATTTTTGACTCACCAACAGCATAACCGTATTTCAAAACCATGTTGTCGATTATGAGGAAGCAAAGTGTTATAGCTGGCAACGGGAAGAAATGTTATATGTGTAAAGTATAAACCTTTTTGCCCAGTCAAAACACATGCAAAAAGTCATTAGTTTCTCACACAGGGTCTGTTGACCGAAGATCTACGTATTGTGTCATCTGAACCATTGACACTAATTGGTCACGGCTATCATGCTATCTGTTATAACGTGCACTAGATTCGATCGAGATGTTGATAACAGTAAAGCGTATTGTGATTATCATGATGAAGAGACACATGATGAAGCAGCACATATGAACTTACGTTACAGTTATCGCCTTTTATCCAAATTTGTTTATTGATTAGTAATGTGGACATTCGACATTGTTAATCATTAATACTAAATAACGAATGGATTAAATTGATTAACAAATATAGACCAACTCAAATTGCTAAGGGGGAAAGCTTATTCAAGCAATTCCCATCTATAGGAATACGGTAAAATGTGGAGAAATTTACCACGAACCAATGACTAATGATATGCAAATAAGCTGAGATTGATCGAAAAACAGGCTTACTTCGAAACATGGTTAGCAAAGTAGAATGTTCTGTACCATACACGGATTATGCATAGTATTATAGCAAAGCTAAGCATGTCAAAAATAAACTGATATTAATAGAGGACAACTTAAAAGGATTAAGCTCTTGTAAGGTAAGGGTTTAATATTAAAACAGAAAATAATAAGCGCGTAACATCCTTGATGTAGAATACTCAAATCGGATAAACCTTCAAACAAGTGAAAGATATATTAATATATGACGAATTTAGTAATAGTATATAAGAAACGATTTAAAAAAGATATTAAAGTAAATATGGGGCATGCTGCAACAAAACCAGACAAAGTGAACATTTGACTATGTGACATAAATGAGAGGCTGATTGTGATGGCTGTAAAATTGACCAGGGTGACTGATGGCGTTTTGAAGTAAGAATGGTGCTTATGGACTGTTAATTTTAATGCTCACTTTATCATACCAGAATGTGATGAATATAAACCATAACATGATTAATATAGGATTACC